CATGTGGATATATATATATATATATATATATATATATATAAGGGTAATAAGGTAAAATAAACAGCCCACTAAAGAGAGGTAATTAATGCTACTCCATTTCCCAAAAGCTTGAACCACTAAAAACCAATCCTCTCACGTTCTCCTCTCTCTCTCTCCTCCATTTCCCAAAAGCTTGAACCAGCCCTCTCTCTCTTCCTCTCTCTCACCATCAAACAACCCAGATCCGAGCTCCTCCACCCCCTGCCACCTCGCCATCATCCACCTCCGACGACGCCAACGCCGAACCCGTAGATCCGCTCCGTCAACCCTCCAAGGTTTGCTCAACTCTCTCTGTCTTCAACATCTTGTACAAGGTGAAATAGTTCACCTTTTAGTCTGAAAAGTTTTTTGAAGAAACCAGTTGAAAAACGAAGACACGCATAAGTGAATCTCGATTCACAGCAGTGAATCTAGATTCAGTATGTGAGTTGTTTGTTTTTTACCATAAAAAGCGTAATTTTTTGCTGTAAAAGGTGAAATCTTTTCATGATTTAAAATTTTATAGCTTGTTTTTTACCATAAGTTTCTTATTCTTCAATATAATCCAGATTCACTGGAGTGAATCCAGATTCACTGGAGTGAATCCAGATTCACTCCAGCGAAAGCTTGGATGGGTAGGATGGGTTTTAATGAATTGTTTAAGAAATAAATGTCCAGATTCACTGGAGTGAATCCAGATTCACTGGAGTGAATCCAGATTCACTGGAGTGAATCCAGATTCACTGGAGTGAATCCAGATTCACTGGAGTGAATCCAGATTCACTGGAGTGAATCCAGATTCACTGGAGTGAATCCAGATTCACTGGAGTGAATCCAGATTCACTGGAGTGAATCCAGATTCACTCCAGCGAAAGCTTGGATGGTTAGGATGGTTTTTAATGAATTGTTAAAGAAATAAATGCATGTGCTATAATTTTGAAGAAATAAACGCATGAGTGAATCTAGATTCACTGCAGTGAATCCAGATTCAGTTATATGAGGTGTTTATTTTTTACTATAAAAATCGTAACTTTTTGCTGTAAAATGTGAAATCTTATCATGGTTTAAAATTTTATAACTTGTTTTTTACCATAAGTTTCTTAATACTTCTTGATATGGAAAAAAATTAAATATACAATATAATTAATTGCTTTAAAATAATCTAATCTAATCTAATCTAATAAGAAGAAAATAACAAAGACAAATACATGTAGAAGAAGATAAAAGTGCTACGAAAATTGTTGTAGTTTCTTGGCATATAAACATTGGTATGTGATGTTGCATGTGAGAGAAAATCAATTGTAAATAGAGTTCTATTTAAATAATAATAGTATAATTAAACTTTGAAACTAATTATGTAGTGTCGTGAACTACTTGAATTTTAGTTGGTGAGAGATCGACACGTTGTGTCCTCATACCGCAACCGTTTATTTTAATTTTTTTTAATTTTCAAAACGATTTTGTCTTTTTAATTTGTTTGGTAGATTTTGCAAATTCTCTGTCCACATTATGTACATTTGTAGGTCTGCGTTGTTTTAGGGTTCGACCTATGCAGCAGACATTATTTGACTCACTAATTTATTTGGTTTTTGCATATACGCCATTCATCTTGTATATATTTATAAATTTGGCATTTAATAAATTCATTTAGGTTTACATTTCAATTTAAATTATATCATTATCTTTATACTATGTATATCCAATAAGAATTCATCAATTTATCAACTTACTCTTACTTAATGGATTAATTTGAATCAATAAGAATTCATCAATTTATCAACTTACTCTTACTTAATGGATTAATTTGAATTTCAATGATCTTTTTTGTCTACCAAAAGATTTTCCCGAACTTTACTCTTACTTAATGGATTAATTTGAATTTCAATGATCTTTTTTGTCTACCAAAAGATTTTCCCGAACTTGTGCTTTCAAAGAGAGTATGATTGATTTGACCTAGTATTCGTTATGTGAAGAGTGAGAGAGGGGGGACCTGGGAAGGAGATTATACACGGAGTGAAATGAAAGAGATGGACGTTGGAGGGGTTTGTGATAATTTGTTGGATGTATCAAGAGGAGCTCACTTGTCAAAAGTGTTAATGCACGAAAAGAAGCTTTCCAAACTGCTGATTTTCTTCTTTATGAAATGTTTCCATTAGAAGAACATCAAATTTTCACTCCTTAGAATATCTAAGTTTTGTGCGGACCACTTAAGGTAGAATTAGAGAAGTGTGAACTATTTTCTATTTTGGTATGTGTATATTTGACACTATAACCTATTAAAGTTCGAATAAAACGTTTTATCTATGCCTTTATATAAGTGCACATAAACACCAAGTTATTATTAATAATTTGATTATATAACGATTAATGTATTAATTTAATTAGAGTTACATAATTAACTATTTCAATTTTATTTAAAATCACTCTAGATGAGATATAAACATTATATGTATCTAACAAGCACTAAAAAATGTTTAATTATAATCTTATACTATTAAAAATCTAATGTTTAATATAATTTTGGACTATTATAATCTAATTGGAGTTGCATTATTACATAAATATTAATTCCTATAGTATATTAAAACATCATACACTTGATAATCTAATACTATTATAATAATTGATTTATTTATTTAATAATCTTAAAAATATTTATACTATAGTATAAACACTTAATTAATGTGATTTAATAAGATTGAGAGTTATGATCATAGAGTAAATTGGTTAATTTCATAGAAGATGAATGGTATTTTTGGGAAATGAAAGTTTTTCTAGTACTCCCTCTTTTAAAGGGAGAATGATAAGATCAACACTTATAAAAAAAACTGGAGATTATTTTGAACATCCCTTCATGCAACAACAAATCTAAATACCATGATCTGTCAATGATTAACAAATAAATATAATTCATAACAGTTTATAATTACCCATATATAGTCAAACAATCTACATGAATGGAAAATGTGAAAGAACCATAAAGATAAAGTATAGAAAATAAATGAATTTTTTAGAAAAAAAACGATTACAAATGATGAAACTAAATGTTTGTAAAATTTGTTTATAAAAGGGTCTACACTTTAAGAAGATAAAAAAAACTAATGAAATCATAACACATATTGTATATTCTAGCTTTATCAATTGATCGATCAAATAGAAGTTATGCATTGCCTATGAATGAGAGAACAAATAAAATTTTAGTAGTTGAAAATTTGTTAAAATAGAGTGATCTCATTAAGATTTTAAATTTTTTTGATATTGTTATCTTATGCAAACATACAAAACATTGTTAGTCGTATCCATTCACTTAAACTCATAAGCTATTAATCATCATTATTGAAATTTATAGTGCCAAAATTAGCTTGTTATAAAACTATTTTTTTTAATTGACAATTAATAGCAAACAAGTGAATTTGGAATATTGATATCACTTTTACATTCTCTTTAACCAAACTCTATCATTGATTTAATATTAAATTGTGATACTTTGTTCTCAAGTAAAATATAAGGCACCATTAAAAAACTTGCATATAATCAACAAATACTATTCTTTTATAAAAAAGAAAAACAATAAGTATATTCATGAATTAAACATGGTTCATTAAATTAACCAATATGATACATATTCAAAAGGAAAAAAATTAGCCCGAAAAGACCCCAGTCAACGGCTATACTACCATTCTCAACTTACAAAATAGTTTTCATCCCCTAAAAAAAGTTGAAAGCACTATAAGTATTTCTATAGATTTAGTCATGATTACTTGAAACCCACATACAAAAGAAAAACAGAGACAAAACATATTTAAACATACTTACCGAAAAAGTAAAACAATAAGTAGATTCATGCAATAAATGTAGTCCATTAAATTAGCCAATACTATACAAATTCAAATATACATCTTCTAAGAAAAAAAGAGGCCCTAAAAGACCATAGCCGATAGCTGTGCTACTATTCTCAACTTATAGAGTAGCTTTCATCACAAAAAAAAGATGAAAGCACTATACGTATTTTTACATATTTAGTCACGATTACATGAAACCACACACAAAAGATGAAAGCACCATACAAAATTCATTTTTAATTAATAGATATATACATTTACAATGGTGCCCCATAAAATTTATGTAGGCGCCCCCACAATTTAGTATCCAAACATAATTGAAGAATTCGCTTCAAAAAATTCAAGGTGAAGTATTTTTCTTTGAATTAAATTGTAGCACAAATGTAATTTTTTCTTATATGAATATTGATTTTGCATGAGAATATTATCAGTTTGAACCCAATAAAGAACGCTAAATGGTATTATATGTATTCGTTTTTATCGTTATTGTTCGTACCAAATTTTTAACATAAGGGGTAAACAAAATTGGATTAGCCTAGGGTAACCCAAACCTCGGGGTCGACCCTGATAACATGTAGAGGGTTTAAAAATACATGTACCGTGAACAGTGCTTACGGGAAAAAAAATCTAAGCTCACAACAAGCAGCATATCTATGACAAAAAATATCATAGCATAAACAATAAATTTAATATTATTATGTATCCTGCTAGTGTACTGCAGCATGAATACTTAGTTTAGTTTTGAGGTTTGCTTTTTACGTTAGAAGTAATATATATCATTTAAGTTTTATGTATGATTGTGAATATGCCCCTGTAGTAAAAGTTTTCTGAATTGATCCTCGGTTATGTAGGAGAGACACAGATTTTAGGGTCATCTATGTAATTACTACATCATTCATCAGCTGCTGAGTTGTAATTAATGCTTAATTAATTTGATTTGTTCTGTTTTGAATGCGGCCGTCGGCCGGGCGGTAGGCTGGGCTACGGCTGAAGGGCCGGCCCAATAGATATAGGGTTATCGGGTTAACGGGTTCTTTTTCCGTCCCTAATCCGTCTACTAGGATCCACCGAAGCTCGCACGTGCGAAGAAAGCAAGCGAAACGAGGCGGGACACGGTCCAAGTCTGTTCCTTTTCAACCCTCTCCTGTTGTCTTCTCCGGTCCCGCCCATTCCCATTCTCTCCCCTCAAATTTCTCCTCTTCCCAAAATGCCCCCGCGGCGAAACCCCTCCTCCTCTCGGATCCTCGTCGAACGAGACTCCGAGTCCGAACCCGAGTCCGAGTCCGAACCCGAAGAAGCAGTCCCAAGCGAAGAGGAAGAGGAAGAGGAAGAAGAGGAGAGCAAGAAGGTCGAAGAGAGAGAAGAGGCTCAGAACGATGGAAAGAAGAAAGTTCCGATCACTATCAGCCTCAAAAAAGTTTGCAAGGTGAGATTTTTACCCGCCTTTTTTCTAGGGTTTTTTTGTTTTGAGAGATTTTTTGTTAGGGTTTTGAGGGTTTTGGTTGCAGGTTTGTAAAGGGACGGGGCATCAAGCAGGATTTAGTGGCGCTACTTACATTGATTGCCCGAAAAAACCTTGCTTTCTCTGCAAAAAGCCAGGTGAATTCGAAATTTATTTTGTTTTTATGTTAATTGTGAGAATTAGATGTTATCAGAAAAGTCCCATTCAACTTTATGTTTTTTCCCCCTCATAAAGCCCCCCCTAATAGCGTCAAGTGCGATTCTCGCATGGGTGGGTAAAATTATGCAGGGGGGTATTTTTGTCAGCGAAGATTGTGATTCATGATTTTAGTAGTTTATGCTCAAAACCTTTGAATTTTGATGTTACTATGAACTTCACTGTTGATTTCTTTTGTCTCATCTGGAATCATAGGCCATACAACAATGTCTTGTCCGCATCGAGTAGCAATGGAGCATGGGGTCATTCCTGCCCCGAGAAGGAACAATCAGACGTCAATGGATTTCGTATTTGAGCGGCAGATAAAAGCCACGGTTCAAAAGGTCAGTAGGTTATCTTAATTATATTGTAGGATGAATTTTCGTAAAAAAATGTTCAAATGCCTAGAAAACTGCATAAATTTCATGCAAGCTAAGTACTATTAGTCAAGCAGTCCATAGTGTTTATAGGGCCCAAGTGCAGTTTTAAGTGGGTAAGGAACGATAAATGCTATCAAATCCCTTGTACCCAGCTATTGAACGTAAATTAATAAAAAAGTAGGAAATAGACATTATTCATGTTAATTTCCATCAAAGCAATAAAGTACCTGTACATAGAATATCAAAACTGAACCATAAGTCGTATTACAGAATTTATGCCCAAGGCTAGCAAAAATAAAAAGGTTGGGTTGATTGCCTTACTACGAGGTAGAAATCAAATATTTTCTCTTGCCATGTATTATTTAACCATCTTATGCTCTCCAGAAGACATTAAGTTAATAAACCACCACGAAAATTAGTGAACAATGCATCTATGAGATAAGAGCATTGAAACAGCGTCGATATATTGTGCATAGTAGCCTGGGATCCAAACCAGCATGTATCAAGCATAATGCTTGGTGTGGATGCTTCTACAGGAATGCTTCATTTAATTTGATGCTTGGAAGCATTAGCAATCTTCTATAAGTATTCAATGAATTCTTTGGTAATATCAATCTGCCACCACCATTACCGCACTCCATTGCAAACCCCTTCTCTCAGAATGATTCTTGTTGTGATCGATCAGCTCATTTGTTTTTGTTTCAGATGTTATGTCTTTGAACAATTCATAGCATTTAGCATACACCTCGTAATGACTGAGATACTTGACCTTTTTGTAGATAAAGCCCGCCTTTGTGATTCCAAATCAAGTGGATTGTGGGATCATCAGACTCCATTCTAGGCGCGTAACTAGTTTGGAGTTTCATCCCACTAAGAATACAGTTCTTTTATCAGGAGATAAGGTATGGCACTTTAATGTCTTTCTGTAACTCTGCTATTCGCAACTCTTTTGTGTTTCATGAAGAGTGATGCTTTTTCTTTTTGTTTGGAAAAGAAAGGGCAACTTGCTGTGTGGGATTATGGCAAATTACATGAAAAGACAGTATATGGATCCATTCACTCTTGCATAGTTAACAATATCAAGTAAGACTTTAATTCATTGCTTTTATGATTCTTCGTACCCTGTTCACTATCTCATAAGCACTGATACTTTGCTTGTTCAGATTTAATTCGACTAATGATGGAACATTCTATACATCATCATCTGATGGGACCATTTGTTGCACTGACTTGGAGACCGGAATACCACATACTTTGATGGATTGTAATCCAAATGGATGGAATGTAACTTATTCCTTCTCAGATTAAACTTCAATAATTGTTACATTTGGTTTACTTTCACCTGAAAGCAGTTGGTTCAACTTAGGTCTTATTGAACATATTTGTCTGGATATCTTTGATGAAGAATCATGACCTTTGGTCTAACTGAATATGATATTGACACATTTATCTGATCTTTAGGGTCCAGCAACTTGGCGAATGCTGTATGGTATGGATATTAACTCAGATAAAGGCCTTTTGCTAGTGGCAGATAATTTTGGATACGTATACTTGTAAGAATCTCTCTCTTCAATCGTTAATTATTTTCCTGTTGGAAGTAATTTTTTTGACTGGCATTGCAAGTGTAAGCTTATGGCGCTCGTCAATCATCTTAGTTAATGGAATTTGGAAACTTCTCCATTAGCTGATAATTGCTTCCAATATTAGGAAGAGAATACATATTTCTAATGGCATTACAGTCTAATTTTGACATTCTTCACATTCCTCTTCGTAATTGTTGGTTGCTAATTCTTTTATAATGAAAACAACCCTAAAGGTTGGATGGACGTTCAAAGATGAGAACGGGAGAACCAATTCTAATGCATAAAAAGGGTAGCAAAGTGGTTGGGCTTCATTGTAATCCCCTTCAGCCAGATGTTCTTCTAAGTTGTGGAAATGATCATTTTGTGAGTTCATTCATCAATTTGTTTAATCCAGGATTTTCTCATTGCCTTGTTTTTT